CAAAGCTGGCAGCTCAGGCGGATATTGTGGAGCAAAGAAGCTCTATTGTGTTTGCCAGTCATCACGAGAATCAAATGAGCAAATTTAGAATAAGCAAAATGGGCTGAAGTTCCTTTAGCAAAAAGCACTCAAAGGCTGGTCAGGCTTAATGAAAGAGAGTATGGGATATTCTTCCTGAAATTATAAATAGTAAACACTTGGACAGCAAAATGATCTGCCCATTTTGCTATTTGTGTAGTTGCTCTGTCTTTTAGAACACACAGTAAATCTAAAAAGATAGAAGATAAATTACTCGTCCCTCTCCAATTTAAAAAATGACTAAATTATACACTTCAAACCACATATGCAATATCACCTGGGGAAAAAAGAACTGTGCACCAAGCCAGGTGAGTCCATTCCCAATGTCAAGAGTTAGAGAAGTAACAAAAACAGATGCAAAAGAGACTACACCTAAACTTGAAAAGGTTCCCTGATAATCCCCAAAAAGAAGTGTTGAGAGCTGATAAAGAAAGAATGACTAAAGAAGAACACAGACCACATCCCCAGAGGAAGACAGAAAAAAATATCAGAGACTCTGGATAGGAAGTAGCACAAACCTTCTGTATTTGGGACTCAAAATACCATCAAATTCAGACACTGCCCCCCCACCTCAGTAAGCTGAAAATAGGCCAGACAATGTTCCCATTGGAAGATGCTCCTGCTAATTCCTTCAGCTGTGAATCACAAAAGGTTTTAGAGTAAGAACAACAAATATTTTCATGATGCTACAACCGTTCTGGGACAAGTACAAAGCAGAACACTGATCTCTAACTGAGATTCACCACAAAATAGAAACAAAAGAGAAGATGGGGTGCTGCAAAAGAAAATCCCAGTTTTCTTCGATATGTCTGGATCCTGGAGCTGTGTGTGCACATTCTCCTTGTCCCGCATGAAGGTCCCAGTCTGGGCTGGAAGGGATCTTTAAGGGGCCATCTCGTTCCACTGCCTGCCATGGACAGGGACACCTTCCACTAGCCCAGGTTGCTCCAAGCCCCGTCCAGCCTGGCCTTGGTCACTTCCAGGGATGGGGCAGCCTCAGCTTCTCTGGGCAACCTGTGCCAGGGCCTCACCACTCTCACTGTAAAAAATTTCTTCCTAAGATCTAGTCTAAATCAACCCTCTTTTGGTTTAAAACCTGACAGAAGAAGCAGTACTGCCAGATTACTTGCCACAAGGAATACTGGAAAATTTCTGTGTCCAAGTCCCCTGTCACACTGCTTGTCCCTGTTACTTTTCAGCTTTTGCTAACTTGCATCTGAGAGTTAACTCAATTCTTGGTGGTCTTACACATCTGCAAAAGGGCAAACACGCCTGCGTTCAGGGCTGGGATATGGGAACACAGATACCTGAGCCTGAAATCCTCCTGATCACATCAAGGTTTCAGAAGAAAAAAAAAATTTTGAAACATTTAAAACATCCCATAAAACCCTAGGACACTGGCAGTTTTCTAGGGAAACCAATTACCTTATTCCCAGAAGTTAGGGCATGTCTCTTAGACCCTTGCAAACTATGAGTTAGGAGTGACATGTGAGCTCCTATTTCAGGGCCTCGAACCTGCTGCTCTTTTGCTGGGAAAAACTACTCACACATTTTGTGCAGTCGCTATGGCTACACAGGGAAAGGCTAAAAAGTTCCAAAGCTAAGTGTGGGTGCTGGAGCCCAGAGACCCTGTCTGCAAAGCATGATGGAAGCAGACCATTCGGAAAAGTCATCTGTGAGTGTCCGTCACTGGAGTGGAATACCCACGGATCAAACCTGCAGGGATGAATCCCAGCCCCAAACCAAGGGACAATCCTTCACAAGTGCAAGGACAGCTTATTTGCCATTCCACATGCAAATTCTGTCCATGACTTTTGCTAGGGCAAGGGAGGCAGCAGAGAATCATGTAAAATGAATATATGTCCAAAAATATTCAGAAGACCATCTTTTCATTTCTTTTTCCTCATGGATAATGATGAGCCCTGAGGTGGCAGTGATTTTGAGCAACTAACAACTCAGACCTGGACTGGGATCAATAACCTAATTACAACATGCATTTTGCTGCTTTCATGAGCTATTCAAGTATCTCAAAGAAACACAAAATTCTTTGTGTGTGTGTGTGTGTGATTACCCCAAACTGTCAGTGGTTAATTCCAAAAGCGTATCCTCACTTAAAAATGGTAGTTGTACCACAAATTAAACTATTATAGCCATGAGTAAAATTAGGTTCCACATTTGTACTTTCTAAAATATCAAAGGTATGGTTAGTAAAGTCTTTTGTTTAAGATCTCTAGAGTCCTGGAGGTAATGAAAACTGGGACAAGGAGTAGTTTCTCTCAAAGTTTAAAGTAAATGCTGTGTTCAAGCAATACCTGCTCCTGTGACTCATGGAGTATTTGGTGTAGAGAATGGAACTACTGTAGCAACACACACACACACACCAACAGTAGTACCACTGCCCTCACAAAAAAGGAGGAAGGGGGGGAAAAGAAAGGCATAGCAGATGATTTTGAACAGTTTCCTGTTACGGTCCCTTGAAAGAAATCCAGCCGTACTTTCTCCCTGCTTTCTGTTTGCTGAATTTCTCCTGACAGTTGGCTCCTTCGTTTGCCAGAACCACAACAAAGGACGGCCTTGAGTTTCCACACAGGCCATTTTCTCCCTCTCTCCTCTCTGATCATCTCACAAAGGTATTATTGTTGCTGGTTCACTGGGGCTCAGTGCACCTGAGGCACATCAAAGGCACTTTTTAGTGCCCGCCTGACCACACAGGTCTCTCTCCCACTGCATTAAATTAAACTCGATGATTAATCTCTGTTGCCCTGAGGGTCCCCTGGTGCACAGAGAGAGAGAAAATATATATTTCTATCAAAACACAAGTATAATATACTTTCATTTTATAGCCCTAATTAAAAAAAGGAACAGCTAATTTCAGCCAAATGCAGCTGCATATAGGTCTCATTAAAACACAAATACAACTGCTCTGTGTGCCGTACATTCACTTCATGCAGCCTGTGCAGGTAATAGATAAAAGAACAGTAAACCAAAGTCCTTTCACAGATTGAATCCAGAGAAGTTTAGAACTTACTTATTGTCTGCTGGCTACAGATTGTTATACCTCTGTGCAGATGAGTGAAGGAAGGCAGTTAAGGAAATGATTATAAAATGCTGAGTAGTTACATTTAAATAAAGATCCACTTAAATCTAGCCAAAAACTGCACAAGCATCTATTCCCGAGTTTGCATTGAAGTGATTAAGAGCCTTAAAAGGTTCTACCTTGTGCAGTCTGTGTTTGACTTCGGGTTGCTTTAATGACAGAACATTGACATGGACTTTCTCAAGTCCCTTTTGTTCTATTAGCATATTTAATGGAGCCACATCTCTCATGGTTGTGGAGTATGCACACAAAAAGTGCTGTGGAACTGTCAATGCTGATGTGCCATGCTCTAGTCTGGGAAGCAAAATAATCTATACTTGTGAACTGGGTCTAGTTAGAACTTACTAATATACCAATATTAAAAATTAATAAATAACCACATACATGTGCTCCTACAGGGCTGGTTGTCCTAAAGGAATAAGCTGGAGCCAGGTGGCCCATTGCCAGCTACTCAAGGCTGCCCTTAGACCTTTGGGGGAAACTGTCTGCGAGCTCCTCAGCTCATTTCAGTCCAGTATTATGTCTCTATTAACTCAACTAATTTTAACAATTTAAACTAACTCAGCTAAATGAAACAGGTTAGGAAGAGTTCACTCAAACAGCTTCTACTGAAAGGGCAGAAACCTCCAGCAAAAAACCTGGAAGTAATGAAAGTAGTGGCAGGCTCAAAGGGTGACTCCTTCCCCCAGGGCTGGTATCTGCAGGTGCCCCACCTGCCCTGTGACGGACACAGAGGTACCAGTGGAATTTTTCAGAGGTAGAGCAAGTCAAAAGTGATGGATTTTGAGGTTTGAAACTTTTGCTTAGGAAGGACCCTAAATATATTCCAGTTTGCCTACAGGATTTAAGCTCTTGTTCAATGCTCTGTTTCACAATAGTGGGATTATTCACGTCTTTAAATTCAATCATGTGCTAAAATGCTTTGCAGAACGACAATCCATGTGACAAGATCACCATTTATTCATGCTCAAGATCACCATGGATTCACACTGTCACTACAGAGACAACTTAACTTACTGTTAAGCCTGATGTTTTATTATCAGCCTCCTTTCTTTGTCTCTCCTGCCGCTTTCTCCATGAAGCATGTTAGTCCTCTCTAACACCTCTAGCACTCCCCGTGCCATTTGCTCCTTTTGGAAAAATCCAAGTTATAATCAGTCTAAATTTAAGACCAAAATGAGTTTTAAATAAAAAATGTGGCAGAAAAGGGTACTTATCTAAATGGAATGCTCTCAGACTCATACATTTTAAAACAGCATAAATTTCAAAAGCAGACACTAAATTTTAATTGCAATCTCAGAGAAAGCTTTTGTATTAATTCACTGAGAAAAATTAGCAACGTGAAAACTGCTTATCGGGGGTTTTCCTTCTTTTTAGTCATGATAAGTATCATAATTCTATACATCATGGCAATTTTCAGAGGAAGAAGGATTTATATTGATTCAGGGAAGAGGTGGGGGAGAAGGGCTGTGACTGAAGACGTGCACTCCTTCTCCAAAGCCACTATTCTGCAACACATTAGTGACAGGCTTGTCACAGATAACTCAGGCTCAGAGTCTTTGGCTCAGATTTCAGGCTGCTCTTTAAGCCACTCTGGCATCGTGGTTTTTACTTTCCATGTCATTTTTCAGTATTGATTTCTACTACTATTAAAGTTCTTGCCTAATAGCAAATGCACGGTAATTTATAATTAATATCTGAAGGAAAAGATAGAGTTACCAGAAAAAATTCAAGGGAAAGGAACTGGGTGAGAAGGACAAAGGTCAATTTTCCCTTCAAAAACATAAGTTAGTATATTCTGCACAAATTAGGACACACAACCTACCCCCATGTGGCACGAAGATGTTCCACAGATCATTGCAACTCGGGATGTAATCGGCTGGTTCTCACATGGCAGGTTATGTCCTTTCACATCTGCTCCAATTACTCCTATTAAAATAAAATTAAAATTCTCTTTTAAAGAAGAACAAGTCACCCCTCACCAAACAGAGCTCTTCTGCACACAAATGATTGCTAAATAATCTGACACAACTGCCACAAATCAAGAAAGTCTACTTAGTCAATAAAGAAAATTATTTTATCCATCAGATTAAAATTTTTATTCCAGATACAAGGACACAAGATGATTTCTTCTGTGTTCATGTTTATCATCATGATTTTTCAGTGTTATTTTGCCTATAAGCTGACTATATTCTCTTAGGTAGCACACTGACATGCAGAGTAAAGAGTGCCCTGCTGTAATGGCAGGCTGCAGATGTGTTTATTTGTTCACAGTTTATCATGCACATCCCAGATGATGTGTTTTGTCAGGGGATGAGTTGGAGAAAGGGGTAACTTGGCAGGAGACTGGAAGGCTGCCAGCTTTGTTGTCTTCACTGCTGCTGCTCTTCTGTCCGTGTCAAACCATCTAAAGGGAGATTATTCCTTCCCTTAGAGGAACTGAGCTTGGCTCTGAGGAGCCTCTGCGTGCAGGACAGGACAGGACAGAGGACAAACTCAGCAACGCTCAGGCTGCAGCAGAAAATATACCCAGGAGATGCCAGAGAGGTGCCAGGCAAACCTACGGCCAACCCTCAGACACATCACATCCTGCTTGATTCACTCCATGGGAGGTTACAGTGGGAATCCTGGCCTCTCCTCCTCCTCTCCCAGGCTGCATTCTTGCACCACGTTGTGCTGCACCCAGAAAAATGCAACAGCCCAACAAGTAACATTCTCTTAGTTGTCTTTTTTCCTCTTGAATATCACTTTTCAACTGGCAAACTGGTCACCAGACTGCTCATTGCATCTGCATCTGCAATGCTCAGTCTGGATACCAGTTTGCCAATCCTGCCAAAAAAACCCCTTTCCCCTCACTGTAGAAGGATCATGAAAGCACTTGCTGGACACTGTGAAGGATGCCAAGTGTTGTGGCTGGTTCGTATCCTACATTTCATTAACACCTTCTTGTTTAGGTCACCACTGCAACATTCTTTTGGGGTTTGTCTTACTTTGAGTGCCATGGTTATCCTGGTATTATCATGGTTGGAAATCATCTAAATAATCAGAAAATTAATGGGCTAAAATTTTACAGTCTTCAATAATCATAGGAATCATAATCTGTCCTTATGCCCCTTTATCCTTTTATTATGTGGTAGCACAGCTGTCATGCAGACAGTCAGGAACAAGAGAAAGCTAAAAGTAAGGCTTCTACCTCATATGCTTTATTTTTCACTGCTCCAACATGACATGTATGAGTTCATTTTGGACAGAGTTGTCTACAAGGCAATTTCCTGTACTGAGCAACACTGTATTAGAATTTCTGAAGGAGCTAAAAATATTGTTCACACTTGAGAGGGATCAAATCTATGAAACTGAATTGTTAACACATGTCATAAATGCATTTTCATAAACAATACAAAATTAAGGACTCCATGTTTAGATATTTTTTAATCACTAAGAAAATATACATTCTGCAAAATAGGCATTCTAGGCCTTTTTGGATTTTCCAGGGTGGCTTTACTAGTGTTTAGAGTTGCAAGAGTCTTCCTATTCATGATTAATTGAAGTCAGAGAGCAAACGAGTCCAGAACATTCTCATAACAATGAAAGCTTTGGTATTTTATTAGTTAAAAATAATATAATGGCTAAGGCACTTTCACCTCTAACTTAGTTGGAATTTTTCACAGTCCAAGAGCGACTCAACATCTTTTGAAGTATCTTAAGAGACACTAAGAACGAGAAACCTGTGCACCCTACAAAACATAAGCAAGATTTTTAGGAAAGCAGGCAATGTTTAGCATGTGCACTTCTGGATCTGCTCCACGGTGACAAGGTATTTTAGACACTGTATAATAAATTATCTACTTTTGTTGAAACAATGCTGATGTCTTTTGAAAAGGTACAATGTAAACAGTACTTTTATAAGGCCAGTCCCAAAGCCTGGCCTCCCATACTCACATTTTTATCTGTACACTTTTAAATTGGTACAGTACATCAAAATGTAAGACATAACTACTCAGCTCTTGGATTTTTACTTTTCCATAAAAGGTATCAGATGGACCAATTCAGGAGTCACACATGACCTCCACAAACACAAATACTAAATAATTCTTTATCCGTACCTTATTTTACTCAAAACTTTGAAGCCTTCATAAACTTCAAGAACTGAAGTTTGCCCAACAAAACTGCACTTTATATCCAGCCAAAAGTAGATGTGAACTGCATCGAAAGTTATTAATACTGAAGACAAGATGTCCATCATGTCATTCTGGTTTAGCCTGCAGGACACCAAAGAGCCCTTTTCATTACTCTGCTGTTAGAAACTATTTTGAAAACAACCAGCAGAATAAGAAGAATGACACCACTGGATGTTGTTGTCCCCCAGACTAACCTAATGCCTACTACTCTACAGGTCATATCCTTCCAACAAATTGTAAACCTCAATATTTCAATACAGAACACAGAAGGGTAAGAACTAAAACATACATCAGTGCCTTTTCTAAACAGATGTTTTATACCAACTACAAGATATATTTATTTCCAATATTTTCACATTTTACTTCACTGTTTCAAATATCTCTTCTCTCTTTTCTTCTGTGCTCTTTTAATCATTATTAAAAGATTAATATGATTTAGTGCATTGCCATCCTTGGTGTCTTTTAACCAGAACAGTTTCGTTTCCTCATTATATTATCTTTCTTCTCCTTTTTGCTTTCCTGCTTTACCTTCAGGAATTTCAGCTCTGTATTCTACACAGTGCAGGTAAAACTCGACTTGAAAAATATTTAAATTTCTTGTTATCAACAGCTATGGATGAAGGATTTATATTCAGCATTTCAGATGTGCAGCCACACTGTTTATTCTCTTTACATACATTTGCACTCTACAGTTCTCCTTTTTCTCCTGTTGTCACTTCTGTTATCAAAATCTTTTCATTTTTACTGCCTTTTCTACTAGTTTCCCTACCTATTTATGACCCTTCCCAGACTGAAGGATGAGTTCCATCTTCAATCTTCCTCTTGTCCCAGACCGTACTGAGCTACCCTGTGATCACCACGTGGGTTCTCCCACTGCCTTCCTGACTCTTCCCTCTGTGATTCCCCTCTCCCTCTCTAACAACAACCTGGATGTTGTGTTTTCCTTCCCCTGGCAATCATTTCAGTAGTCTGCTCATGTTTGTGGCGCCATCTGGGAAAACATATTTGGATAAACAGGACTAGCATAAGCAGACTGTCTCAATCCACTGAAGCCGCTCTCTGAGGGCTGTCAGTAGTTATGTATTTCTAATGTTAGAGTTTCTTTACAGAAGTCTATAAAAAAAGGAACGGACAGTTGCTCTCTATTCTTCTTTAAATCCAATGAACTGATTTCAACACATGAAACTTCCTGTGCTCACATCATGATGCCAGTTAAACACGGTCCCTCCACTGCCACATTTTCAGGTGCTCTGTGACAACCCAGTTTTGCAGCAAGTTCATTATTTCAGGTCAGTTTATTATTACACCCTTTTCCAAGAACACAGAACTGCCAAGGCACACAGTCTAACACATGTTTATGCAGTTGGGATAATAATTGACACAAACAGATTTTTAAGTCAGTCACAACAGTAGGGGCACAACACACCTACAACTATGACCCCAAAGCTTAGTCCTGCTTTTTGCACATAGATCTATGTCTAATCCCTCTGAGGTGGTAAGAAAAGCAATCTGCATGATTACTAAACCTCATCAGAAACAGTGATCAAAAGCAAAGTAAAGGGATTTAAACATTTTAAAGGTTCCAGACTCCAGCTTCTAGAAGAACAAATGAGACTTAAAACAGCACAAAATATTTGAAACAAAACTGGTATTTTAGCAGATAATCATATTTCAGTTCAACCTAGAGAAAAATCCTCTGATGAGCAATAGGTTTCCATTGAAAAATACTGTTTCAATAACACTGTAACTTCCTGAGGTAAGACTTTTTTCTAAACAATCAAACTAAATAACCTCAATTTCCTGCTGAAAAAGTTACACTGAATCTCTTTGTTATTGACTGCATTAAGATAAGGCTAAACTACATAGTAAGAAAATGAATGCACTGAACCTACCAAATACATTTCAACACAGTTGAAACTGGGCACATCAGAATAGGATGCTGGAAAAGAAACAAAGTCTAAGCATCAGGCCTTAAAGCCTTGAAGCATGAATCACTTCTAAAACTAAGGAGAAAGATGAACTACGAACAAGCCTCAGATATGAAGCTTCTCCCTCGGAATGTTACATTTTTATTTTTCTTGCCTATCCCCAAAGTTTTGAGCAATAGAAGATGCAAACTCTCAGCATGTTGGCATTCCAATAGAATGGTATTTGGGCTCTGGAATTCAAAGTGGAACTAGCAGAAGTTACTGGGATATATATGAATATAAACCCAAGAACTGGGAAATTCAGCTGAAAAGACAAATAACAGTGATAGCTCCTTTCTATAAACAGACATACAATATTAGCAGTTATTGGGATGACTTTATTTTTCTTAAGAATAGCATCAGTTGGATAAAAACAGGCTGTGAGAAAAACAGCTTTCTAAGGTTAATTCAGTACATTCCCATCTCCAAGAATAGTAAACACATGAGTGAGTACCTAGTCCTCCAGCATGTGCATCAATGAGAGATGCTGCCACTGCAATCCCTTCGGGGAGACCCAGATCTTTGGCAGCTTCTGGCGTTAGACCTTTTCCAACAGCCTCTCCAGGAGACAAGACGTGGTTTCCTGGGCAGACACAAGAAAAACCAAACACCTGTCAATTTACTAAACAGAAAAACCAACGTGTATGTTATTACGAGAACTCCCTTCCTCTCCCTCAAGTCAGCCTGGGATTCATAAAACAAAGAAGTGCATCAAAGCAACTCAGTGGGATGGAGAAGGATCTTTCATTATCTGTCTGTACATTAAACACAACCAGGCTGGATCAGGCTGTCCCATAGCAATTTAGAAGTTCAAAAGCATTCAATGTCCTATCTTGCCACAGAGAAAGATTTCAGCACAAGCAATTAAATTCTGCTTGGCATCTTTCCAGGAGATATGAAATGCAGAAATCCCAGATTCCTGAGGCAGTTGCTGCCTGGGCTGCCTGAGCCACTCTCTGGGCATGGGAAGGAGACTCGGCTCAGTCCATGCTCACAAATGAACACTGCACCTGTTGCACAAGGAACAGGCCAATTTTTTTTCCATTTCCATCCCTTCCAGCAGTTACTACTAGGAATAATGTGGCTATAGCAACAGAAACTCTGAAAAAGAAACTGGCTTAAGCAGCAAATTCTTCTTGTTGCAGCTGTATTTCCTCACAGACTTAAATAATGTCTTTTTGAGCCTTCCCTGGCCTTGTGCAGCATGAAAGAGGCAGGGAACACAACCCCTCCCTCCCAGCCCTGTCACTGGGGAGCCCAGGGGCAGGTCCTGCCTGCATTTCCCTCCACTGCCATAACACACATCCAGTTCTGTCTCGTGAAAAGAGACTGTTCTAATAATTAAATCACAGTGATAGAGGCTGCTCAGACTTTAGAAGAACAAATCCAGATTCACTAAACTATCAGAATTTAAGGACACCCCCAAGAGCCTCCTCTCAGGCTGCTGATAACCCCAGCCAGTGAGACCAACAGCTCCTGGGAATGCACACACTCCACTATTTAGCTAAAGGTTTGGGGGTGGGAGGCAGAGAAAAGCTCAGTGGGAGCTCCCAGAGATTTCCCTGCCAGTGCCAGGGCTTTTAGTACATTATTTGTAGTGTTTACTAAATTCAACACATCTGGGCAGACTTGGCAGAACTTCTTTTTAAAATACAATCCTATTTTCAGGGTCAATTCTATTGTGAATGTTACACCTAAAGCACATTCTGATGTTTAGAAAGGACACAACAATCCTCTACAACAGACATTAATTAAGAGGAATAGCACATCGTAACATATCAGGAATACACTAATGCCCATGAGTGTGAACTTCTAGAAATGCAGTTATACTGCCTGTTGGATGAAAAGATGATGGTATTAAATTCACAGGTCTTCAGTTTTTCATATCACTTCACTGTAAATGATGTTGGTTCTTCAGTTTAAGAATTCACATTCCCCTTCTGCCTACTTCCTGAGGAATGCAGTGTATGGAGCACTTTGGGATCACATAGCACACACAGCTTCATGGTATGAAGTTCATTTCTCCAAGAATTTCTATTCTATTGACAGTCACACACCACCGAGCCTGAAATTCCAGGCTGAATCTCACACTGGAAATTTAAAACAAGTCTATATAGCCCGAATTTCTGCACTTGACTTTGGTTTATATTCAAATATTGGGGGCAATAACCAAACTTCACCATTAAGCTTATACAGAAGGATGTGATGACATTACATGACCTCCTCACAGGAAAAAATGTCTGTATTTTATCAATTTTATATCAATTTTATACTTCATTGATTACTTATTGTAAAATCAAAACATCGTGCTATCTTTTTCAAAAGGTGTATCTTTTGCATTTTTTCCCAATAATTTTGAGTGCAGGATGTTTCTCTTTAAGAGAATTCTGTATTATCTTTATGGCTTTTTTTTAAGACATTGGAGAAAAATACCAGTAAACCAAAGCTGTTTGCTTCTCCTGACATACAAAGACCCTGCAGGTGGGAGGAAGTTCAAAAGAGTTCATGCAGCTAAACCCACATCTTTTTCTTCGGAATCAGTTGCCTGACCTGAAAGCACACAAACATGATGTATATACAGCATGAGATGAAGTTAACTTGAAATAAAACCTCTTTCCAGGCACTCCATTCCATGGTTGACTTGTTTATATCAGTCATACTAGTCAAACATTTCAGTGCCTAATTACTATACTCCATTTTAGAGATCAGAGCTACTATCACACAAAATCTTTTCCTAGCAGCTTCTCAATTACTGTATTTCTAGTTAATAAGCATTGAGGGAGCAATTTCAGAGATAAAGATAATCCTCTCTTCTACAGCAGCAGAAGAAATGAGCCTATAGGTTCCTTTGGTACTGGTTTTATATCAGAATGACCAGCAGCAGCACTGCTATCTCACATGGCAATGAAGTGTGTGAGAATGTGAAGGGATGGCCCTCTTGAAGATGCAGCATAATCATCTTGTATTTTGAACAAAATAATTAATACTAGAGTCTGTCCCACATGTTTGAGGAGTCAAAGTACACCTGAACAAATATTCCTTGACTGAAAGCACTTCCCAGCAGCCAGAAGTCACCCACGACAGGGATTGCAAAGGGGAGTCTCCTGGGTCACACGACAGCCAGGGAGTGTGGAAAAGAGGTGCCGGAAAATGGGTGCACAAGGAGAGGATTCTGACTCTGTCCCTCTACTTCATACTTCCAGCTTTAGAGATCAATGCAAGCTCTGCTACACCCATACAATGTGTTCACAAGGAGCTTTGTAAAAGGGAAGGAGTAAGATCTGCCTGGCCACTCTTTTGGCATCACAGAATTTGCCTCTCCACTTACACAAGTGGGAAAAAGTATGTGGAATGGATGCTGAACCACATGAGTAGAGACCTGGGAAGGGAATTATAATTCTCATGGTTTAATCTTCACTGAAAAACTAGAAAACTCAGCTAAGCATCAGTATCAGAATCTGTAAATGTAAAGTTATTAAATGATAAAACATACAAAAAGTAACCAGTGAGGAGCCACAATTAAAAGTGAAGTGTTTGAAACTGCATTCTGGTACCAGACTGGGCGGGAGGGAACAGATTCTTACTTGAGCAAAACACAGCAGCTTTAGAAATCAAGGGACAGATATTATAAACATAAAGGTATTGTACAGCTACACACCAGCAATTCAGAGCAGGTGCTGCCACCGCTAAATCCAACCTGTCAGGGGAAAAAGAAGCTGTGGGAGGGGAAGGGAGGGAAGTGAGAGCTGCCTGCACAGAGCCGGGCAGTGAGAGCAGGGCAGGAGGCTGCATAAAGGAGGCACTGAAAGGCCCGAAACTCCTCAAGGCTCCTGCCAAAGTAAATTTATCGAGTCCTTTGTTTACAGTAGTCTCCTGTGCAAGTCATTTACCTTTGCTATAATGACTTCCAAAATTAGACCTAACCAAACAAACCCATAATGGCTGAAGCTGGAGGACTTTCTGTTTCACATTCGTGCAGCTGTCTCACTAATGCAATGCCTTAATCCACAACCTTTCATTTGGGACGAGACAGGCTATTTCCAGTTACTTTTTTCCCCTGTAAAGCAGTGAGTTTACAAAAGGAAAAAGCTGTCTGAATCTCTTCCTCCTCTTTTATCCTTCTTCGAAGACTTGTATTAGAATTTGCTATGATCAAGCTTTGCTTAAAGAATTTCTGTGCTACCAAGGAGCCTCTACATTTTTAGGTGGTTCCCACAGGAACCAACTATTTACAAAACACAACACACAAGGCAGATAATGTATCTTCAGTCAACTTTAGTGATCAAAATACACTGTACTGGCTTACTAATATTTAACAGAATGAGGTACTTTAGGATGTAGCCCTTTTTAAAAGAACAAAGCCAAGCCCAGCAGGGGCCCAGCTGACTGAGCTGTGATACACTCACCCAAACAGCTTTTCATCTATCACACAGAACAGGGCTGCACTTCACATGTACTTATATTTGGCTGCGTAAGTGCTTAAAAATTCAAAAGGAATAAAATCCAAGGGAGACGTCTCTGTTATTCGCTAACTTGACACAAGCAAACTTGAAATTTGGGTATATCAATACCTTTCTGAAATCCCAGCAGCCTCAGAAAGAAACCCAGCTGGATGGTACATCCCATCCGTCCCATCCCCATTTCATAGCCCCCCAAACTGGACAAGCTAAATGCCTTCTGGTTTAAAAGACCATCCAAAAAACAGATATCCTGTTAAATAAGGGATATAGAACATGCACTGAAGAAGTTATCTAGTTAAACAAAACAGTGCTAAATAAGCACCAAAGGAAACAGGATCTCAGTAAAAAGAAGCACCACCCATTCAGATGGATCTTGTAATAGGCAATGTAAGGGATTTTCCCCTTTGATGTTTTGTTCATTACAAAGCATGGAGACAAACTCCAATTTTTGTATTTTATAATAATCTCACAATGCCAAGAGTCTACAAATAATATAAATAATATACATCATCCCAATCCTATCTCATACACAACACATTGTCAAACATCCCTCTCAGTTACATACAATACTCACATTTAACTGAGATGTATATGGTTGCTTTTCTAGAATTTTTAATCCAGCTGAATAGCCAAAATAGTGCTAAGATCAAAGGAAGCAGGATAATGATGCAGACTATAAAACCATAATACTAATTTTTTCTTAGGACTGAATGCATGGTGGATAAAGGATGTAGAAACAGTGAGATCTGGGGCTTTTTTAACCTGCAAATACCCTCCACAAAATTCCCTGGTTGGTGTTAAAGACTTTAGCATTTGCACTGAGGAAAATCAAACCAAAATGTGATATTATAGGCTAGGTAACATAAAAGTGAGAAAAACAGTTGATTAAACAAAACCACTTTAGCTTTCTTCAGATCAAAATCCATCTCTGTCTACAAGAGCTGCCACAGGAGCTTGAGGCAATCTACTTTGGGTCCTTTCCATCCCAGTGTCCCACACAGCCAGTGCCTTTGGCTGAACTACATCTCCACCTAAAGTGTAAGTAGTTCAGGCAGACATATCAAGCTGCTAAATATTGGCAAAATCAAGCAACCTGTGTGCAGGCAGGTCCTGGTTGATTAAG